AGCAGGGTTTAGGGCTGTTGTATATAGGGTTGCTGTGAGTCGTAAGCGACTTGACGGCACATAACAACAAACACCAATGTTTATGTTGTTGGAGCTCTGGTGGTTCAGAAGAACAACTCACAAAAATTGTGAAAATGTGCATCTCCATGTAATCAGTACCACTAAACTGTGCATATTTTTTACAACAATAAAAAAAAGATAATATAGGAATAATTATATGGAACTGATGATCAGAAAATAGGGTGGTTTGTGTTTTGGTGGCTTGTTGTTTAGTTGGGATTTTTAAAATCCTTGTAATTATAATTGATTGTAATTGAGCCGCCTCTGTTCCTGGGTACTTTGTCTTGCGTGAGGTGACATTGTATGTTGCTGATGAGCTCAATGAGCCTTCTCTGCCCTTTGTGTTCTTTGTGTTGTGTGGTGTGGCACTGGGCATATCGTTGCGCTCTGTCCCTCTGTATTTTGTGTTGTGTATTGTGACATTGTGCATGTTGATGAGCTTTGTTGAGGCTCCTCTGCCCCTGTGTACTTTGTGTTTTGTGGTGTGGCACTGTGCATGGCGATGTTGCTGAGCTCTGTTAAACCTCTTTTCTCCCTGTGTCCTTAGGTTGTGTGTTGTGACTGTGCATGTCGAGCTCAGGGGAATTTCTGGTTACTCAGTTTCAGTGACTGCCCTTACTGAGCCATTTGGAACTCTGCCATTTTCCCCTCCATCTTTACATCTGTCACACCGCGTAAAAAAAGGGCACTCAAGTTTAATCCCAGAACTTAAATTTTTCCAGAAAGTGTCCAAAGTGTCATGACATTTGAGATCAGATTTTTAAATTATAACTTTAATAGATTCATTACATAATTTTCGACAGTTGCTTTATGCTTGAATGTTAAAATATGAAAATTTGGGAAAATTTTACATACTCTAATAAGTTAAAGAAGCAGTTTTGTACACAGTATTTGAACATGTGTGCTTAATAAAAGAAACATATACTTTTTCTAATGGAAATTTTTAATAGCATTTTATAGTCTTATGTAATAGTAAGGTGAGATTCCAGGGACATTTTGCTGTTTTTTCTATAGAAATATTTTCCAAAACTGTCCTGTCGTATTACAGCCAAGATAACAACATTTTCATAATTTACTAGTCTTTTTCTGATTTCTCCAATTTGTTTTACTCATGTGAGGAATGCATGATACCCACCAGCTCTATCACCACCTGGACTCTTGTTTTTTTGTGTTCTAAGCTTTCCTGTATCTTTCTGCTTGTGTTTCCCTTCTTCTCCCCTGACAACTAGTGCTCTGTCCTCTATTTAAAAATGTTCATAATTTCATAAGTCTCTGTATACATACAACATTTCAATTCACAAATGATGCCAAATGTAGCTTTTATCATGAAATCTTCCCTGGGCATGCATCTCTGGAGTGTCATCCATTCTGTTGCATACATCAGTAGCAATCCTTTTCATCACTCTGATATTCCCTGATCTAGGTGTACCATATATTGTTTAATACTTTGCTTGTTAGATCACATTTGTGGTATTTACAGTTTGACCCTCCTATGAATGAAATAAGGAGCAGAATAGAAGATTTCAAAGGATAGCAGGAGAAGATAAAGCAAAGTTTTATGAGATGTGTAAAGAACTGAAGTCTGAAAGTCAAAAGGACCAAAATTGCTCGGCATTTCTTAAGCATAAGGAACTAAAGAACAAATTCAAGCCTCTAATCACAATACTTAAGTCTGCCATGATCCAAGAAGTATTAAAAGAAGAGTCTTGAACCACCAAGAAAACAAATAGATCTGTCTTGGAGAAGGTGAAACCAAATTTTTCCTCGGAGGCTAGGATTTTGAAGGTCCCTCTCATATACTTTGGGCATGTGTTCAGGAAGGACCAATCCTTGGAAAAGGACATCATGCTTGGAAGAGTGGAGGGACAGCACAGGAGAGGAAGGCCCCTGGATGAGATGGATTGATACAGTAACTAAGGGAAGGGTGGTGTGTTGGAGTCAGTGAACCTGGCTCAGGACTGGGCAGGGTTCAGAGCTGTTGTTCGCTATGAGTTGCAGGCGACTCGATGGCAACAACAGCATAAATGACATGTCAGATTGCTATGCTAAGTCAAAGTACAGTGGTTCAAAACCGCCAGCAGCTCCATGAAGGAAAGATGGACACTAAAGCTCTCTAACGATTCAGTGTTGAAAAACCTGTTACAGAGTCTCTGTGTGCTGAGATCAATGTGACAACATTGAGTTAAACATTCATATAAAAGTCTTTACTGTGAGCCAGTGTTTACCTTTGTCTGGGATTTATGCTCACTCAAGAGTCTAATTGTTTGTTGTATTTTAAAGCATATGTTCTTTATATTGAATGAGTCATAGTTTTCCCTCATGAATACTGTTTCCTGTTGGATATAACTCCCTTACTCATTGATTTCTATCTAGTCAGAATTTGCTTGTAGACTCTCCAGCAGGTTTTGAGATGCTGTAAATCACACTGGGTGAGATTGCCCTGATTTCTCTGATGACCCTTCTTTCCCATAAGGGGCCGCTGATGTATTCAAATTGGTAGGAAGGTGCTACCTTTGGGTTGGCTGCACAGCTCCGTACACACAGCACCACCAGATGGAAGTTAAAGGGCTTTTAGAAATTTTTATTAATAGCCTGAGAAGTAACAAATATGGCAAATTAATCAGGCTAAGAAAATGGATATATTTCTTGTTAGCTCTTGTTCTTTTAGTTTTAATTTCTCTGCAGACCCCAGAGTCTCAAAAAGTCCTTCATTGTTACATACCTCAGGGAACACTGGCCTCCTTCTCTTGTCCTACTTTTCCCCATGATCAAGCATTTTCTAAAGATTTCTTATTTCTACAAGTGCAGAACAGTGTTACGCCATTCTTCATTTAATTCATGGTTCTGGAGTCTCTGCCATTTAAGCAGAGTCTTCTGTAACCAGGCCCTTCTTGTTAGTCATCTGAAGTCAAGTACGACTCACAGCAGCCCAGTGAATAACAGATCTAAGCCCTGCTTGATCCTGTGCCATCCTCACAATCTCAGATATAGCCCATTGCTGCAGACACTGTGTCAGTCCATCTAGTTTAGAGTTCTCTCTTTCTCTAAGAGAAATAAAATGCACCTTTCTAAGCATAATGTCCCTGTCCAAGGAATAGCCTCTGAAGTATGTGAGACAAAGATTTGCCGTTCTTGCCTCCAAGTAACATTGTGGCTGCACCTTCTCCAAGACATACCTGTTTGGTTTTTGGATTTTTGTAGGTTTGTTTTTTTTTTCTGGCAGTCCCTAGGATATTTCCCAATCTTCTGCACCACAGCTTAAGGGCATAATTTCTTTTCTGTCATTCTCAGATGCATAGCAAGTGATTAAAAAGACCATGGCCTGAATCACCTTGTCATAAACCTGATATAATTGCTCCTCAGTAATTTGGAGAGATCCATGATAAAGGACTTGCTCGCTCAGTGTACTATATCTCCTGATTTCCTGACTGTTAAAACCAAGGCTGTTGATTTTGGATCCAAATAAGATAGAAATCATTGATTAAGTTCAGTCTTTTGTCCATCTATCATGATGTTGCTCATTTAGCCTTGCGGTAAGGACCATTGCTTTCTTTTTTTTAATTTTTTTTTAACTTTCTTGATATTGAGATGTTATCCATATTGAAGGTTATAGTCTTTTATTTTCTGCAGCAAGCATTTCAAGTCCAACTCATTTTCAGCAAACAATGTTGTGTCATCTGCATAATGCAGGTTGTTGATGAGTCTTCCTCTGATTCTGATGCCTCATCCTTCTTAAAGTCCAGCTTCCTGAATGATTTCCTCTGTGTACAGGTTGAATAGGTATGGAGAAAAGGTACAGGCTCTGATGCATACCTTTTTTTATTTTAAACCTTGCTCTGTTTAGCCAGCAGCTTGCTGGTCTCTGTATAGGTTTCTTCTGAACCGTTTTGTATGGCTGTCGCTGACCTTTATATCTCTATTTCCTGCTTCTCCTTTGCATGGTCATTATTAAAGCTGTCTCAGGGCCTTTTCCTGTGCCTGGAATGAGCTGTACTCTCTACACACTGTTAACTCCTTTTCCTTATTTAAGTAGCTTTTAAACCGGTACTTCCTCAGGGCAGGTCCTTCTCGTACATTATATGTAAAGCATAGGGCCTCTGTACAGTCTGGATAGAGTGTTACCTTCAAAGAAAGAACATATATTATCTAAATCAATATAAATGTTAATTGTTTCCTCCTAAGAATAAAAAATAATCCCATAATGTATGTATGTAGATTATAGGTTTAAAATAAAATACGTTTCTTTGCTTGTTTATTTTACAATATCTTCCTTGAGCTTGACCCTCATATTTAGTGTACCTCACAAGCTTCCCTGTATTTCTGGGAAGGGCAGCATTTCCTTTTTCTGGGTCTCTTGGTGTGGAGCTCCAGATGTGTCCTCGCCTCCATCTCGCTCATTCCAGGTAGACAGCTTTCTCTGTGTGTGGATTGTTCCCTGAAGGTATAGTTTCATTTTCAGTTTTATTACCTATAAGTAGCCCACCCTCTGATTTTACAATACACATGAACCAATATTCTAGTATTACTTGTCTTTGATATATCTCTTTAATTTATGTTTCTCTTTTATTTTTTCTAAATTTTGTCCCAGAAGACTTGTTTTGTTACCTGTCATTCCATACTTAGTAAATGACTCCAAACCACCTCCTTTCCAGGCTATGCTCCTAACCATAGGATTTCCCCTTGACAAGACATGTCCTTGAGGCAGGGTTATGTCCAAAATGCCCACCACTGTGAAGACTGGAATTGTACTTTACTAGTCTTTGTAGTCCTGGAAGTTGTAGCATTGACTGGTATACATCGTCCCTTAGTTTGTTGAAAATAATGAATGAATGAATGAATGAATGAATACACGAGTGAAATTGTGTTTTTTGTAGATGGATGTTATTTTTTAAAGTATGATCAAAGTAAATGGCTAACATATATGTCTCTTAATTTTTCAGGTGATTTTTGAAGTAGTCACATCTGGACATCATGGCTACCTAGCTATTGATGAAGTGAAGGTGCTAGGACATCCATGTAGTAAGTTGATTGAATTTCTCTAAAAGCATTTCATTGTCTTGATACATCTTTGGGGACAGTGCAGACTAGAGAGTAAGAGGAGATTTTGTAACCTAGAGAGAATCATTCTGTGAAGGAAGTTATGTGATTCAGGTGTTGGTTTGGCAGGACTAAAAATATATGTCGTGTGAACTGTCTGTAATAACAGAATGCCTAGTGTCAGGGTTGAAACAACACCCGGCCCTCACTAGCTCCACACAGTGGAGAGAATGCTCTGCACAACACTGACATGACAAAACTGATTGTTGGAAAGTCAGACATGCCCCGCCACCCTATACCTGCACCTGTTTCTCACAATTCTAACACCAACCTCCGCTCTCCTGATTCTAGTATTGGGTTTTCTAATTTGTTGCAAAGGGGCTCTGGTTGCTACCAAGCCAAAGGCATATATTCATTTCAATTCCACTGTTTACTCTGTGGGAGAAATAGGAACAGTCTCCTTCCTTGCAGTTTTCAGCCTCTGAAAATGTACTGGAGAGTCGTCTATGAGTTTGTTCTGACTTGATGTTACATAGCAATAAATCACACATAACTCATACACAGTATGCATGATTATGGGGTTTATCAGAGAAGCAACAGGTCAAAACCACTCAGGGTATAGTTCTTTAGTTGGACCAGCTTCTTCTCAGGGTGCTCAGATGCAGGACTCCTTCTGACCCTGAGCCTCACACCTCTAACTCTACCTCAGGGTTGTGGATTGGCGTTGGAAAGACATCTTTTTGTTCTGTCAATTATACCTTACCCTACTGAGCCAGTTGTTGTATTCTGTTGCGTTGAAACTGACTCATAGCTGACTGTCAAGGGGATTTTTTCAGAGGCAGTAAATCATATCTTTCTCCTGTGGAGCAGCTGGTAGATTTGAACTACATGCCTTTGGGTTGGCAGCACAGCTTCTTACCACCACACCACCAGAGTAAGCCTAGGCAAATAACATTAGGTTTTGTGGGGTAGCAGTTCTAGTCCACACTCTTTCTCACACCAGTCTCTTAATTCTCTGCCATGTGAGCTGCTACTGTGTCTTGGTCTTGTTCCATCTTGTGCAGGAATCTGTTCCCATCGGGGAGAGCTACATTCTCTGCCTCTACTTTTTTGTTTTGTTTTGTTTTCAAAACCATTTTGTTGAAATATAATTCACATACAAATTCAACTCAATAATTTAAAATACAATTAATTTTTATTATGCTCACAGAATTGTACATCTATCACTACAATCAAATTTAGAATATTTTCATGATCTCTAAGGGAAATCTCCACCTGTTAACAATCACTCCCTGTCCCATCCAAGATCTCTACCAGCCCTAAGTAGTCACCAATCTATAAATGTTTGTTAAATCTATGATTAATGCTTGTTACCTCTAGTAAAATTTTATATATAGAATCATGCAATTCTGTATAAGTCTATAATATCTATCTATCTATTCGTGCATGTATACAGTCTTTATACTGACTTATGTAACATACCATAATGGGTTTTTAAAAATCTGTGTGGATCACAACAAAGTATGACTGACTCTGAGAAGAAAGAGAATCCCAGAACACTTGATGATGTTAACGTGAAACTTATACTTGGACCAGAAGACAGTCGTCAGAACAGAACAAGGAAACACTGCATGGTTCAAAATTGGGAATGGTGTACACCATAGATGTGTTCTATGTCCATACCTTTTCAAACTATATGCAGAACAGATTATCCAGGAGGCTGGGTTCTATGAGGAGAAGTGTGGCATCAGGATTAGTGGAAGATTCATCAACAATCTGTGTTATGCAGATGACACAACTCTGCTGCTGAAACTGAGGAGGACCTGAAACGCTTGCTGCATAAGGTCAAGGACTGCAGCCTTCAATATGGATTGAAGCGAAATATCAAGAAAACATAAAATCTCACCACTAGGCCAATTGGCAGCATCAGGATAGATGGTGAAAAGATTGAGATTGTTAATAGCTTTAGTTTGCTTGGCTCCACAGTCAACACTCTTGGCACCAATAGCCAGGAAATTAAGAGTATTGCATTGGGATAGTCTGTGGTTAGAGACCTCTCCAAAGTACTGAAGATCCCTGGTGTCACTCTGGAGACGAAGGTGAGCCCAATACAGGCCATGGTCTTTCCAGTCACTTGCTATGTATCAGAGAGCTGGCCAATGACTAGGAAGGACAGAGGAGAATTGATGCCTTTGAACTGTTGGTATTGGAGAAGAGTATTTAATATACCATGGAATGCTAAGAAAACAAACAGGTTCACCCTTGAGAGGGTTAAACCAGAATGCTTCTTAGAGGCAAGGATTCTGAAACTTCCTCTGACATACTTTGGACATGTTTCAAGGAGGGATCAATCCTTGGAGAAGGACGTCATGCTTGGGAGGGTGGAGGGACAGTGCAGAAGAGGAAGACCCTCTATGAGGTAGATTGTTTCAGTGATTGGGATAATCAGGGTAGGCGTGTTGGGGACAGTGGGATTGGCACAGGATAGAGCAGGGTTTAGGGCTGTTGTACATAGGGTTGCTATGAGTTGCAGGCAACTCAACGGCACATAACAACAACAACATGAGTATTCATATACATAGTGTTTCATTCATATACATGGTGAGGTGTGTGAGTTTCACACTTTCTTCATTGACATTATACCTCATACAATCATTCTCATACGTTGTGTTTTATAAAACTAATCAACTTTGAATTATTCCCACCCTTACTCCATCTTATCAAGTCTCCACTGGATATTTCCCATTTCCTTTATCCCCCTCCCTTCACACACCAGTTGTATGAGCCTGTTTCCTCTTCACCCATCCCCATCCCTCTGCTTCTACCCATGACAAAATAATTTCCCATTTCCTCTCTCAATTTAAACCTGGCTAAAAATTGACCATATTCTCAGCCTAAAGGTGCTATGGTTTCTATTTACATTGTTATCAAGCTATCTGATCTCATGTTGGGTCTCCTCAAATTTATATATTCCCCTCCAGCCATATGGTGAAATTCAAAACCAAAGGCTAGGAAAACCACATTGAATAAACCAGCATAGCATGCGTGCACACACAGTGTGTATGACACCTGGTTATCTTTTCAAATGAATAACAGGAATGTGGATAATGCTGTTTCTGTCTTTGAGGACCTCCTCATCTTTTATATAATAATTTTCTTTTTGTTTTGAATAATTTTAACTCATGACTGTTAAATAGATTCTTGTTCATAATGACACTATGGGACAGAGTACAACTATTCACATAGTGTTTCTGTAAAAACAGCATGGGTCTAGGGACAGTGGTACCGTTTAGGGTCAATGGTGCCAGTGTCAGAACTCGTCTCACTTCACTGTCGATTCCCCATAAACAGCATCCATGACTCACGTCTTTTCTATGAGATGAGACAAACTGCTACAATGAAAATCTACACATTTTCATATCAGCTCTTCCACACACAGCACTTACAACTTCGAGTTAAGGAAGAAAAATGCAATGTTTGCCTCTTTTGGGTTCTACCTACTACACTGCTGGCTTGGTCTTGTCCTGTCTTCCTCCCCTCTGCTGTAGCATTACTCTTTTGCCGTAGTATTCTGTCATGTGACTATATGGTATTTTATTTTTCCATTCTTCTAAGAAAATTTAGGTTTTCCCACGTTTTTCATAATTGAAATCATTGCTGCAGTGATTGTCTCTGTGTTGCTTCATGCAATGCTTGTGGGTCTCTGTGGGGTATGTGTGTAGAAGCTGACATACTGAAATGTAGAGTCGACACCTTTGTAATTTTGTTAAATGCTATCTGCCTTATTTACCCAGTGCTGCTGTCATAGAAATACCAGAAGGTACTGGCTTTGAGAAACAGACTGACCCTTTTATAATGTAGGAGGGATCTCTGTTAGCATAGTGGTAAGAGACTATGCTGTTAATCTAAAGGTAAGCAGTTTGAATCCACTAGCTGCTCTGTGGGAGAAAGATGGTCAGTCTCCTCTCATGTGATTTACTTCCCCTGAGAACCTGCTGCAGGAACAGCTGTGGATTGGTTCCGACTTGACATCCACAACAGCAGCAACAGAAGTAAAGGAAGCTAGATGTCTACATTCAGGACACCAGCTTTCGGGGAAGTCCTTCTCTGTTTCTCTTATCTGGGGGCAGGCTCATTTCTTGTCTTCTTATAACATTTGTGAGTGTGGTGTACATTGGAGATCTTTGTGTGTCTTATACCAGTCTTCTCCTGGTCTAGAAGCCCAGAACAGGACCGTGGGTCCAGAGGACATGCTCTGATCCTTTTCTAGCTCTTTCTTGGTGGTGTGAGTGCCTCACTTTCTACTAACTCTTTTGTCTTTGTAAAATAAAAGGGGGTACATGGATACTTTCAGGATGTTTCCCTTACCTGGACCAGTGCTGTAATCTGACTAAGAATGTTGATCCCATATTGATCATCCAACTGATGGCATCAAGAAGAAAGATAACATCATTACATAACTACCATATGTTCTGTTTACTTAGATGTTGAATCACTTAGAATCATGGCCTAGCCAAAAATGACACATATTTTTATGTAACAGTCCTTGACATTCTAAGTCAGTTTATTTTCCCACTGACAACATATGGAAGCTTTTACCCCCTGTACCTTTGCCCAATAATATTATTGTCAGAATTATTATTAGCAGCAGTAGTAGTAGCTGCTTCACTTTTAGTGTTAAGGCAAGAAAGAGAAGCTAACTAGTGTGTTAGTTAGACCTGGTATCTCTGGTTCTTTCTCAGAATAATGAGAGGATCATTGTCAGTATAATGAAACTGAGAATTTAATGCTTGCATGAGGATCTTGGGGTTTTATTGCATGGATTTGGATAGATCATTAGATCACTGTGATAGTTACAGAAAAGCCTGTGTGATTATTTTTCTGATGAGGGTATTAGAATGTAGTTGTCTGACTCTGTCCAAGGAAGTTTTGCTCCCTCTGACGTCTCTGTTTGACACTCTGGAGCTGCCGCCGCATGCCCG